TTGAGGCTCGAATACGTTTCATTTCGCGGAAGAGGCATTTCTTCCGTCAGTGCAGTCTATCAGTCTATCTTTGATCCGCGCTGTTGCCCTGACGCTGGCTTTGCAAACTTTCTGCATGCCTGTGCCTGTGGGTGCCGCAACGGGAGGAGTGCTCAGGTGCACTCTTCCTTGGCGCGCGCTGTGTTCATGTGTTTTCCACGCTGTTCTCAGGCCGAAGGATGAGGGCATGCCTTTCAAATGATTTAATTTGTACAGTGTACACTCTGTAGCATTAGCTCCGTCAATTTTCAAATTGTTCATGCTTGAGACGAGAAAGCTTGAGATGAGGTGCGGGCCGTTCACCTCACATACCCCAGCCGCCAGCCACTTTTGCCTCAACCTTGTTTAATTCTTGTGCTATCTTGTGCTGATATAGGCAGCTACCTGCGATGCTGCCACAAGGCAAGCCTGCACCAGGTTACCTAATGCCCTGATGTCATTCCTTTTTGCGCAAACACCTCAATGAGCTCTGGCCGTGCACGCATCATGTTGGCAGCAGTGGTGCTTAGTTGCGGGATAAGCCTGCACAGAACGTCGAATGAACATTAACATGGCTACGGTTGTGCTTCGTAGTTGTCAGCATTGAATTCATGGATCTCACCCGTGTCCAAATCCCGCTAGTGCCGTCGTGTCATCACTCTTAATCTTTTGGCTCGCTCTGTGAATGGCTTGCACACTCATCACTCAAAAGTTGCAAGACAAGAGTCCAGATTGTAGTGTTTGAGCTGGTTGCTCTTGTTCGCAATTCTCCGAGTGTCTCTGAATCTACCGTGACACCTATCCAGCTTTGTCTTTCGCAGTCTCAAGACAGTCAGATTGCTGCCACTGTAGTTTCTCTTTTTGTTCTCTCAGATATGCTGTGGCATGGATGCGGACCAGGACGGATGGGAGCTGAGCGCTACGCCCTGCTTGCCAGCTGCGACTACACGCTACAGCCATCCAGGCCTGGCCACACCAGTATCCGTCGGGCTCATGGACACACTGCAAAGATCTGCAAAGATAAGCGAGCAGAGAATGCCTCAGAGTGTCAAGCCCACAGGAAGCATCATCCAATCAAAGTTTCGGGTTCTATTTCAGAACTAGGTGGCAGGCATTTCTGGTAGCTGTAGTATGACTTCATGTGAATCATGTAGCGATCGATGCTTGTCATGTGCACTTGCGCCGGTCCTTCGTGCAGGGGCTTCCTACACTCCCTGAAAGCCTCCAGCAGCTTTCAATTTGCAGCACTGAGCGTTGGTTTCTCAAATCTCTTTAGCGGACATGGCAGTACCACGCAAGTACATTCAGGACTGCAACATGAAGTTATCAAGGTGTAGTTGCGTAGTCTTGATGGAAGAGATGAGCTTGCGAAAAAGCTTCCAGCTGAACAGCTCAACAGGATCTAAAGTGCTTCTGCGGTATCAGATTTGAGGCTGTGTTGCTGGTTCTGGCGACCCGTGTTCCTTGCGGCCCACAGCTGTGGAAGCCCAGTAGGGACCTAAGGGAGTCCGCAATAGTCCGCAATCTGGCGTCATGGGCTGGGCAAGGTCTCATAGGACATCGTGGCAGCTAAAAGCAGGCGTCCAGGAGTTCTAGCAACACAACTTCTGCGCCAACAACTTGAAAACAACATTTTCGTGGAACCAGCACTTTGTTTGGAAGCCGTGACGAAGACGCAGTCTACAGGCGACTTACCCAAAGGACAGGCCCCAGTGATCTGGCTGCTGCTAGCCATTGCACTCGACTAAGCTGTGCGGATTCCAGGACTCCCCAAATGGGGCAGAGCACATCGGTATCAGCCGAGGTCGGCTTTTCTTTCTCGAGGTCTCTTGACTTCCTTGCAAAACCGCCAGGTCCGGAATGACGCTGTCCGGAGCTGAGATGGCCTTATCGTCTAGACCGTTCACATGAAGCTAGGTCTCAAAACCCCAGCAGGTTTTACAACAGGGCACTATGTTTTTTGGCTATCATAAGACCGACCAGGCTCCCAAGACAGCGCCAAAGCCCGCGCTGCGTGCCCCTCGCAACGGCCCGCCTGAGCCTGCGTCCCAGGAAGCGTGCCCTGCATGCCCCTGATAGATGTTGGTAGCCCTTAGGCCGTCCTCTCCATCCATGTTGCAACAAGCGATGGATGCCGTGGTTGGAAGAAGGCCGTCGGTGATTGAACATGATCATGTATAGTGGTCGGCCCTGCTGAGTTTCCCTGATTTCACGCCGGGCCGAGACAGGCTTGAGGAGATCGTGGAGGTGTCTGCCAGCTCCAAGCCACTGGGCTCAGGGCCAGCGCCTCGAAGCTGCGAAGATCCTGAAGTCAATGTGCAGTTAGACTGGACTGGCTCTCTCCACTCCAGCATGATGATCACACTCTTGCACCGCGCCAGCACTGTCAGAAGACCAGAGACTGAGCTCAGGGCTTTTGGGACAGTGTGGCGTGGCCGGTACTTGGACGGCCCCTTGTCCGCAACATTATGCTCCTTGTAACGTTACGCGCAGTTCTTCTCCGAGATTTGCAGGAGCAACCTCTAAGAAAACTCCTAGTGCATTCAAGTGTGGGTTTGTCGCTAGAGCTCAGATTGTCTTCACGCGTGGATTCAATCGCTAACGCGAGACCGCCTCGGCAATGGTAAAGGGGAGCAGCCTGCTACTGCCCCCTAACCCTCCCTGCAAATCGAAATGGCCGGGACTCGCACCGGCCTGCGCGAGACCTGGCTGACCAGCCGAACGTTTTTCAAGAATGAAAAAACACAAACAACGCGAATTGGACCCGCGGAATGTTTGGGGGAAGGGCTAACTAATTCTGGTCTCCGAACCTGGATCTAAACCCCCCAGGCCTCCGGCCTGAGCGGACTATCCACCACATTCACTCAGAAAAGAAGATGCATCAACCTTGGCTTGACAAGATCAATAGGACCAAGATGACTCAACTGGAAGCCAAGATTGCCATCTTTAATAGCCATGCGCATGTAAACAAGCTGCCTTGTTGTTCCTACTATGGTTGGATTCCTTGGATGGATACATCATGCTTGGAAGTCTGGAAATTGCAACGAATCTTGTTTGGATGGCTGATGGTGGAATGCCGCAACTCAGGAGGATGCGCCGGTTCCCCAGAAATTGAAGCTTCAACAAGATGACCGTGTGCGTACCTGTGTGTACAACATGGAATTGACAATGGCATTCGACTCAGTACTGATGATTGCAACATCAAGAGCAGTATTGTTGGAGGAGGAGGAGCAGGGGAGTACAGTAATTAGTGGTCGGGGCACCTGAGGAAAGAGCAGTGTGGAGCATTGACAGTTTGAAGCCGCGTACGCCAATACAAGGGCGCAACCATCCCTGGGTTGCATGAAATAGCCGGTTGCTGCCCATCTCATTTTTGTTGGCTTGAAGTGCAAGCACCTGTCCTGCCAGAACTCTGCAAAGCAGCGTGTAGGCAATGGAGGGCCTGAACAATGGCGACACCGCCTGGATGGCCATGTCCTGCGCGTTGGTGCTCTTCATGACGCCAGGCTTGTGACCACTTAGTTCTCGGGGCCTCCTGAGCTTCGGGTTTAGTGCCTTTCCGGTGGGGTTGTTTGGGTTTGGGCCTCTTCGCCTCTTTCCTTTGCATATACAGTAGTGCGTTGACTGCGTACAACTTTTCAAGTGCTACATGACTCGCCTGCTGCGCTGGCAGGACAGTTTACTTCCCTTCCCCCCTGCATCTAAACACGTACGGGTCTAGGTTGTTGCAGACAGAACCAGCGACGCCAGGCTTGGCATTTTTCTACGGCGGACTGGTACGCGATAGTAATATCGTCAACACCATGATGATGAGCATAATCTCCATGGGCTTGACGACCCTTACCTGGCTGATCTTCGGCTTCACCTGGAGCTTCGATGAATGGGGGGCAGGCAAGGGCTTCACGTACGTGGGCTTCCGGAACCTCGACACTGTTTGGCCCGACACCACGATGCCAGGCAAGGTTTCGAAAAGCTGGGGTACAGGTGGCCACTGAAACCTGCCTGTCCAGCACTCATGAAGCAGTCATGAAGCAAAAGCTGTGGCTACGAAAGGGCTGGCCAAGGATTTTGCGAGGGCGATCGGCTAGTGGCCCCGTAGCAGCAGGAGTAGCAGCAGGAGTAGCAGCAGGAGCAGCAGCAGGAGCAGCAGCAGGAGCAGCAGCAGCAGCAGCCGCCGAAATGCGTCTTCCCATGTTTCATTAGAGAAATTGCTGGTCCCCAAGCAATGCTTTTTCAACTGTGTTGTTTTTGGTTTTCACCTTTGTACAATGACAAAGGTCTGTGGCCTTGTTACTGCTTTTGTTTAGACACGCTCATTGTTCCTTCACAGGCACTCTTTGTACTTCAAGGCTACCAAGATGTTAGCTGTCACCGTTCATGCTGCCCGTACATCCATTTCCTTTTGTTCTTCTTGTGCTAGAAGCTTCAAATACCCTCTCTTTACGGCAGCAGCGCATCCGTCAGAATTATGCAAAATGGAAAATGAGCAGTGTGCAGGAGGTCTGAGGTATCCTATAGCTTTGCATGACAGCTGGGCTTGGTGCAGAATTGATCAACAAGAGCCGAAGAGTTCCAAGGAGTTCTTCTCATTAGGGATCGCTGTACAAATCAAAATTTTGTGCACGCATTTAGTGTCTGGGGCTTAAGTTAAAAGACGTGTCCTGACATCAGGGATCCTCAACCTCTCAAAAGTTGGGATTCTGGCTCTTTGGCTTGCCAGTTGGAGCAAACTGGGGGCTTCCAGAATTTTGCAGTCTTTTCGTGGATAACTTTCCAGCAGGGATCATGTCATTTCTGGCAAAGAGAGGACTCCCCTAAATTGTACTTTCATGTCGTTTCCACTCTGTCTTCCATTATCCCTATATATTCTTATACAATCCCCTATATAACCCCTACATAATTCCTATATAACCTTGCAATACTGGCACAGTGACCGCAAATAGCAGCTTACAGAGAGTGTTTTTGCAGGTGTCTTTGAAATTAATCAGTGATGACGAGGTTTCTTCTTTTTTTAACTACCACTCCTTGGAACACTTTTGCATCCAACACTTGGGGGGGTTCCACAATGTTGCATTGGGGGCGGGGGGGGTTGGTTGGCGGGGGGACTGCTTAGAAATTTCAAAGCTAAAGGCTTGTTTGCTAAGACCGCCAGATCAAGGTATCGTTGCCACCTGGCCAAATCGCCACCCCCAAGTCACAGATTAAGTTGGGTCAAGAAGAAAAGGAATAAGCCTCAAGCAAATCCAAGTCTACAATCAGCTTGTTGGAAGAAGGTCCTCGCCCGAACATTCGTGCAAACATTACAAAGTCAACCCCGGCATTGCCAGGCATGACCTTCGCCGTTTTTCAGATGACGTTTGCTATCATCGCGGCAGCAATCATTTCCGGTGCAGTGGTGGAGCGCATCCGCTTCTCTGCTTATGCCATTTTCATTGTCGTCTGGGTACTGGCAGTTTATGTGCCGTTGTGCCATTGGATTTGGGGCGGTGGCTGGATCGCTGAGATGGGTGCCAAGGATGTTGCAAACAGGGATTTGCAGCAGTTTCTGCCTGCGAATCACATCAAGTCAGCGCACGGCGAGTAGACCACTTCACGGTAACAAGAATGTTCCGCGTCCATGTAGCTGGACAGTCATGTCTATGCGGTCAAGCGTAGCACGCCCCCTTGACTCTTGAGATTTGGTCCAGGGTTGGTAGTTTTTGCATGTCTATATCCACATTCCTGAAAACCTGACCTCACCAGCATAAGCCTGCGTTTTTAGGCATGGCCCAAAACGAATCAAGTCCAGGGCCCCATCCCACATATCCATTAATCATTTATGTGGTTATTGTGGACATTCGGCGTCGATTCGATCGAGCGCTTCGATCCGGCTGCCGATCGATTTCAATTCCTCGGGGTGTTGCCCGGCCATGCAGAAACCTGCACGGCATGGGAGGTTGAGAGCTCTCGGGATTATCCAGGTGACGAAAACAGTGATTCGAGAATTTCTCAAAACCCAAACTTTCAGGAGAATCGTCACTGTATGATGGGTTTGTATTGTATTCAAGCGAATCCGGATGCTTCAACTCGGACACTGTCGTAGTCCCCTACGCCTACATATACATAAATGTACGCAGACATACTATACATATACACAGTATACACTGACATACACATGCACATGCACATGCATATGCATACACACGTACATGCGTACATACAGATGTACCTACATACCTCACCAGGACTTTGATAACTTTAGAACAGCGTGAGGACTTTGCCGGAGGAACTGTCGTCCACATCAGCTCCGGCACCTCAGCCATCGCACTGGCATCCCTCTTGGGCGAGCGCAAGCACAGGGCAGAGAGCTTCCCGTCGAATTTGCCCTTCGTGATTTTGGGTGGCGGGATCCTGTGGCTGGGATGGACGGGATTCAACGGTGGTTCAGCTTTTGCCGCCAACGGAGACTGCGCCCTCGCCATCGCCACTACCTACGTTGCAGCCGCTGCAGCAATGGTCCCTTTGGCTTTCATGAAGGTTTTCGTAATTTTCCCGTGGTGGGCTTATGCTGGGCGTCACGTTCATGGATTGGCTTGCAAGTGTACCCAAGGTCATGTGGATCACCGTGGAGCGTATCCTGGACGGAGCCCCGACCTCGATTGGTGCCATGTCCGGTGCAGTCGCTGGACTTGCCACTTGCCCATGCAAAAACAACTTAGTTCCATGGCACGCCTTGCATCCCATGACCAATCCTAGGTCCTATAGAGTCCTAGACAGTAATCCATGGCAAAAAACAGCAAGCGGCAAGATCTTAGGTGAACATCACTCCTTGTGCCGGCTTCGTGGAGCCTCTGGGTGCTCTGGGCGTGGGTGCTATCGGTGCGTTGTGCTGTGTGTTTGCAGCTCGTGGACTGAAGAAGCTGAACCTTGTGGATGATTCTCTCGACTGTTTCAGCCTCCACGGTGTTGGTGGCTTCGCCGGCGCCATCTTGGGCGGGTTCTTTGACCTGGAAGATGGGATTATTTACGGCGGAGATGGCCTGCTGCTGGCCAAGAACCTTGCCGGCGCCGCCTTTGGTGTGGTCTACTCCGCAGCTGTTACGGCAGTGATCTTCTTCATCATGCGTGTGGCCATGCGCATGAGGGTCAGCGAAGAGCAGGAGCTGGAAGGTCGGCAAGCATGTACCCTCACTTCTGAAAATTTTGAAAGTGTTGCAAATGGTTTGGATTGGTGGCATGTTTCACATTGCCCTGTGCTGCTTGGAAGGCGTGGACCTGCACTGCCACTCTGAGGCCTTGGGCTCAGCATGGGTTAGCACACTGCGGACTTTCGCATGCTGGCAGGATCTCATCTAGAGGAATATGACAGGGAGGGAATTCAAAAGGCTGGGGCTGACTGAAGGTTGCCTACGGCAAGAACGAGAACTCGGGCAAGCCCAACGGCTTCGGCGAGCACTCCCAGCGTTTCAAGCCAGAGGCCCAGGCCCCAACACTCCTGACGAGCTCTCCTTCCGCGTCCGCGGAGAAGCCGACAGAGGTCTGAGAAGGTTTCTAGCATGAATTGGCTTGCCGGCCGTTATTTTCAGTGGTATGGAGTACCCGCGAAATGCCCGCCTGCAAGACGCGTGGCTTCGCATGCTTCGCTTAGTGGGTTCCCCTAGACGGGCTGTCTAGCATGCCTGGACTTGGGGTCCAAATCTAATTCACTTGGTGCTGCAGAGGACAGCACCAAGCCACGGCAGTGCAGCGTGCAGCGAAGACTGCTCACTCGGCCACTGCTTATTGGACCGCGTTCCAGCGCATGAAAGACGCCTCAAATCAGGGCAAGGGTTTTCCTGGAAGCTTGGCACGAGCTGAGGCTCAGTAAGAAGGATGACCGAGCTTCAGACACCCCAATGTTGTGAACTTGCGCTATCAGGCCGTCGCAGTGAAATCCCTCGACAAGGCCAAGATGAAGCAGATGAAGGCGGCTTTGTCGCATCGAGCGCATCGAGCGTTGCAGAAGTGCACCTGGTCTGAGAGGTCCCAGACACGCTGGTCACCTCTGAGGTCGAGTTCATGCGCTCGGAAGCCCAGCGGGTTGCATAGGTTGCTCGTGTGTGTGCTGCGCTGAGCCGCTAAGCCGATAAGCCAGCCCCTACTGAGGTGAGTGTAAAGACCAGCCTTGGTTCGTCCAGTTGTACGACTTTTTGGACCCTTGGATAATGACTACTTGGAGTATAACATAGTATAACCAACTAAGATCAAGAGATGGTGTTGTGCAGGACACAAGCCACAAGTTCTACCTGCTGCTTGAGCTGTGTGATGGAGGGAACATGGAGGCCACGTCCGGCATGCTGTTTTCGACGAGTTTAGGCTTCAAGTATGGCTGCGCGGTTCAGCTTCGGTAAGCGCTGGGTGGTTGGCGTCTCCTGCGAGGATGCCGCAAGGAGCCTGGATGGTGGCCTCAGTGAAGTCCGCTGTGCGGCTTTCATCAAGCAGCTTCTGTGGGCAGCTCGGTAGAGCCTCGCAGAGTGTTGGTTCGTGACCCGCATGTTTCTTGATGTCTCATGTTTAGCAATAAGATTTGTAGCTCTTTTGGGATTTGCAGCTGGGACCCGTATGCCTGGAAGCCCAATCTCTCTTCCATTTTCACAGCACAATTCCTGTTGCCATTTGACTTTCATGATCAGATTCTCCATTGTTCATATTGAGCTACGGTCAATATTCGCGATTATTACGGGACAATTTACAGTGGACATAGGGATCCATTTTGTGTTTTGCTATAGTCCCAATCGTAGTCCAAAATAAGGAACCCATGTCTATTAAACTATGTAGGACATGTTGACTGGAGCTCTTATAATCCTCATAGTACATTCCCTTATTCCCTATTGACCAGCAGTAGGTTTCATGCTGATCTTCCCTAGGTCTGGCATCGCCTTTCTCCACTCGCGCATGATCTGCCATCGAGACATCAAGCCTCAGAATGCCATGCTTCGAGGCCCATCTTTCTCCTAAAGGCAATCAGAGTAATGGAGAGCTACAGGAAATCGAAATTGATACGGAAAGCGGATATTTATGGAAGGTATGTATAGGAATTAAGGGCTGGGTGCTTGCATGTCCTTTAGCAGGGAATGCAGAAATCAAAATTGTTAGGGATTATGTGAAGGCTATACCAGCAATCCATGGGCCATCTGGGAGTTTTTGGAGCTTGCGGACCCTAGGGAAAGTCCGGAATGCAGAAGGATCGCGGGCGTCCCTATAGAGCTTGCTGAAGAAGCAATTCTAAAAAGCTACCGTTTTGCTCCAGCCTTGCATGGGCTCAGACTATCATGCCTGAAAGATGTCACATGCACGCCTAACTGTATGGGGAGGGGGCGGCGGCAATGTACCTGTAGCACTTTAGCGCTCAGGGGTGCTTGTTGGTAGCCCGTGGGGAACAGGGACCCCAAGAGAACGCAGGATTTTGCTTTCCTCATGACAGCATGGTCTCGCATTTGGAGCAGTGATTGCCATGAAAAAGGTTTCCCAAACTCCAGTAACTTGTAACATGATCAAACCTTGTGAGGCACTGCAACGCTGAATGAAGATCTCCGGAGATCTTAGGACCACTGAAAGTCGCGCAGGTCAGGTCCGGGACCCCAACTCCCGGCTGCGGCTCGGGGATTTCGGAATCGTCGGGGCACTCAGCGAACACTCAGCAACTTTATGGGAAACAGGCGGTCTCTCCACGTAGGGACACAAGTTCTGACAAGCTCTCAGCTTTCCAGTTCAGTGGCCTGCCTCGTACGGGTCTCTCAAACAGCTTGCAAAGAGGTGCGTTCATCTTGTTCCCGGGGAGGAACACGACAATCTAGAGGTAGAAAAGCCATTGGATTCGAAAATCTTGCTATGCCCCGTAGTTCCCCGTGATTACTCTTTACCCGTTTACTCAACCTGGCCGAAAGCTTTAGGGGCAAATCCAGGCCGTGCGGCTGAGCTCCGGGCAGCTCCTTACGGAGAAGCTGGGCCTGGTTCTTGAGATGGGGAGAAGCAGAGCAGTATGAGAGTTACTCTACCACATGAGCTATAGTCTAAACTCCTTAAAGGGGGGTTATTTAAGGGATGAAATAGGGAGTACGATAGGGATTATGATGAGGGATGCACGGAGTTTAGACTATTACAGCTCATAGTCCAAACCCTAACCATCAGTTAGTTCAGGCACGCCAGCTTTCATGGCTCCAGAGATGCTCGGATCTGAGCGTCTAAAGGAAGAGATCGGGTTCCTTGATTCACGAGGATGATCCTAGCAATCATAAGAAGAATAGTAGTTATGTACTGGTAGTAGTACTAATGGCAACACTTATCTACTGTGTGAGTTCGAGATAGCATAATTCGGGGAGTCAGCGTAGGTTCCCCTTGCGCGGTGTAGAAGGCTTGTAAGTTGTGCGTCCTTTGGATGGTCTTGACTCGTGAGCTATCGTTGAATCAACTGGGATTGTCTCAATGTAATGAGCTAATTGTTCCCAGTGTCTTGATTCGTATAAGGGGTATAAGGTATAAAGAGGCCAACTCCAAATCTTTCAGGCACATGCTGCCAAAGTCCAGCGGCTATGATGGCAAGGCAGCCAGCGGCGACTGCCCAAAAACGAACGAACAAAGATCTACTGCCTTCATGGCAGGTGGATCTTTGGGCAGCAGGGACCTTCATGGTCTTCCTCTTGTCCCTCGAGTACCCGTGGCTGGTCAGCACTTGTGGAAATCGTGGAGGTTGCAGACAAGCAATGCTGAATTCATGCGTATTACTAGCATCAATACTATAACGATTATTCTTTCTTTTGTTATTTCTACCACTAGTATCAGGAATTAAGATTGCCATTAGTATTATTTCTTATTCCGCGCTATGCAAGCTGGATTGGTATCAGCCTCAGGTTTGTGGATGCGAGCGGTAGGCTTCTCAAGAACGACCTGCTCAGAGGACCTGATTTTGTCGCTGTTTTCGGACAGCACTTGGTAGCAATTTCCCAAAATAGGGTACCCCTTTTTAAGATCCAAAAACATTATAATCCTCATTCTGAGACCCCTGAAATGGCACCCCTAATTTTGGGAAACCCTAATCTCTAAACCCTATATGCGGAGTGTGGAGCCTGAAGACCGCTCAGCGTAGCTGGCCTTCGTTCCTGCAGAGGTTCACAAGAAGCACTAACAAAAAACTATACAGCCCCATATAACCTTACACATCATCTATAAAACCCTAGATAGCCCTACAGAACCCTATAGATCCCCTATAAAACCGTGTATAGCCCTATGTATGATCCAGGGTTGCTACCTACCCCCCCGCCCCGCCCCCCCCCACCACCATGGTATGGTCCCCCTCCTCCCTCCTGTGGACCTTATAGACCGTGTGGACCCTGTGGTTGTTGTGGCCTGTGGCACCTATGCTGTGTCGGTGATTCTCCCCTCCCCCCCTATAGTCCCCGGGCCTGTCCATGTGGTTCTGCTCTTCCCCCCTGTGGGCCCTGTTGTTGTGGTCCTGTTCTCCTGGTGTTTGTCCCCCCCTGCAAGAGGCAACGGTCCTCTCTACGGTGACAGCAAGGCGGTCAGGTGTCTCTTTTCCACACTCAGGCACAAAGGTGCTGGTAGTCCCCACACTAGAACCTTAAGCAGTGGACATCATGCATTGGTAGTTGGACATGTGACTGCACTTGCAGGAAACTCAAAGCTTCACCCTGCGGTATCTAATTATGCTGTGCTGGTGATTCTCCTCCCCCCCCTGGTCCTGCGGTTCTGGTGAAGGTGTGGGTATTTGTAGATGATCCTGCTCCATATCTCATAATATTTCTAATGCTGTTACCTTAATTCTTCCATTGATTTTGGACACAAGTTTATTTGGAGGTTCCTGGAGTGCCAGGTCACGATAGAGCCTAAGTAGAGCTATAGCCCCAGGTATAAATAGCACAAAGGTTTAACAGTGACGACAGTTACAAGGATCGCGACCCCGGGAGGCCCCTTCCCTGTGACCGTTGGCGTTTTTCAGACGCCAAGACCACACGGAGGTCCAAAAGTGATGACAGTTGTAAGGATCGTGACGTTAGGGGGTCCCATCCCTGTAACTGTTGGGACTTTTGAGACGCGAGGAAAGCACGAAAAGGCCAAAAGTAACGACAGTTACAAGGATGGCAGCTTTGAGGCGTCAAAATCGACGACAGTTGCGAGGATCGCGACCTCGAGGGGCCCCATCCTGTGACTGTTGGCACTTTTGAGAGAGAGGTTTGGGCTCGGGAGGTATCTGTGGTGGGGGCGGGGGGTAGGATCCCCATCCCCAGGACGGGGAACATATAACCCCTTATAAAGGTACTATATACCCCTACCTTTCTCCCCCATTCCACCCGTAGAAAAGTACTATATAACCCTATTGTTGTCCCGTATTCCACCCTTGTAAAGGCTATATACAAAAATATCCCCCTAAACCCTACATATATATATATATATCCCCTATAAAACCCCTTCAAAAGATACAGTGCCCCCTAATTCCCATGGTACAGCCTGGCCTCAAGGAGACCTGCCTCTCTGGGAAGGTAACGCCTTCCAAAGCCTGTTTCGGAACGTTCAGGACACTCGGGGAATGTAGGTTAGGGTTTAGGATTTAGGGTTATATTGAGGTTCTTTAGGGGATATGTAGGGATATGGTGGTTCTATGGGGTTGTATAGGGATAATGGAAAAGAAAATGGAAGCTACTGTTGAGGGTTAGGGTTCCCCCAAAATGAGGGTCCCAGCCACCAAAAAAAACCACCGAGCATGATGATGATGATGATGATGATGATGATGCTGATGAGTATGATGATGGTCATGAT